ATATATATATATATTCAATTTTGGCATTTATATTATTTTTTTAATCTACCTTGTATTTTTTATAACAAATTTTTAAACTAGGCTAATTATTTTAATTTTTTTTTAATATATTATTTACTTTTAGTTTGTGGTCAATTGAAGGTTATTTTTAATCTAATCTGCCTAGTAATAGTGAAAACAAGTTAAATCTAATTATTGCTTTAAAATTCTTGAAAATTCACTTTTATACATCTATTATACAATTAATCAATCATTCTTCAGTATTAATTCTAGTTTCTTTAAATTATTTAAAACCTTATCATAGTGACAGAAATTGAAATAGTTTTAACAAATGACGCAATGTTTTCTAGTATATATTATTTAAAGCTTAAGGGAAGAATGCTTGTCTTAAAATTTAACATACAACTTTATATTTTAAATATGAACCATAATATTAATTAAAAAAAAAAAAAAAACTCAAAATTTACTAAATAATAAACACAGTTTATTTTAAAATTTTTCAGAGTATTTTGAACCAAGTAAAATATTTTCAAAAAGTCTTTTTGTCCAATTATATAAACCGTTATATTATACAAAAATGTAAAATATATTATATAAATATATTTTTAATAAAATGAACAAATAGAGAGAAATGCTTCTTTTTTATTTATATTTTTCATTTTGTTTCAATTGTTAATACAAATTTAAAACAAATGTGTATACATTGAAACCATGTTTTCCACAACTAAACAGCACAATACACTGCTAGGCAGTCTAGGACCAATACACAGAAGTTTAAAAAAGATAAATAATCATTATTGGTAATATGGGAGACAGATGTAGCAGAAAGCCACAAGTACACAGCTGATGGTGTAAGCATTTGTAAAATGTGAATCCAAGTGAGCATAAATTTATTATGCATATTAAAGAAGAAAAGAAGACACATCAAAAATTTTTCACTTACACAACATATCTCCATATTGTGCCCATGTAATAAATTGTTTACAACACAACAATTCCAGAAATATTTTGTCACAAATTCAAAGTGCGACTCATTGACCTATATTTACTATGACATTTCACGGGATACTTCCTATGCTTAATTGTATCACAGAATTTGAATTGGAATAAATCAAGGCATACAATCAGCTGTCATTTATCTATTATATCCGAATCAGAATTATTAAATGAATAAAAATAAACTATAAGAAAAGATTTTTTTTAAAAGAAAAATTACAACATACACTAAAATTTTCAAACAGTTGCAGATTACAAGGCACAGTCTAACAATTCGCAACTGTTTGGTCCACAATTATGCACTACATTTATATAAAATTTTTGTAGCAACATAATTATGATTTTGCATGATTACACAGCATTGAAATGAGCAAATTTGGCATACATTCTAAATGTTCAAATTATTCAGCACCTTTTATGAAATAACTATTAATAAGGGATTCTTTTGATATATGATTAGCTGTACAGTTAATTTAATGAAATTTTCAATTTGCAGAAATTTTCCAAGTTTTAAATTGTATAGAAAGTAATATATATATATGTATATGCATATATATATATTATTTTTTAATTAGGCAATAAAGAGTAGGTGCTGGTTATGGCCAAGAAAGCAGAAATATCCAATGCAATGTGCTTCTCTACTGTTGCAATATTCCTAAATAACATGAAAATTGAAAAATTTCTTTTCACTTGGATTAATTCAATAATTTTTTTGCAATCATATTTCCTTGCTATAGTATACAAATACTATCTGTAGTACTGGAATACTATTATAAAACATCAAACTATATAACAACAACTTTTTGTAGGATTTTACGAATCACACACAAAAATCAATTCAAAAACAATATTCCCAAATGTTGGGAAATATACAAAGCATGATATAATGTTATTAAATACTTACATATGCCAATGTTATCATGAACTGGAAGAAAATAATCTCTAAATCATAGTAATAAGTTTTTACTAAAATTATCTGTAATATACAATTTTTTGTAATATAAATGATTGATCTTGCTACTGAAGAATAATGAACAGTATTTTAGCATATTTTCTTTTAAATGCCACAATGAAATTCACACTCTATATAATTAAACACTTTAAAACTTACAAACAAATTTATAAAATATAAAATAATCATTCACCAATGAAAATAATCATCTGAATAAATACACAGCAATAAAAAGTGACTATCAAATCTGTCTTTATTCAGTTGACATTATTTCTTCTCATAGGAAAGATGTGAAACTACAGTACACAGTAAGCTTTGGCAGATTTAAATTGTACCAAAACTGTCAATTGTGTATAACAAGAGTTTATGTACATTCTATGACATGACAATGGACTCAATGAAGTGATTCTCAAATGCAAAACTGAAATTAAACTTTGATGATTTTTTTAAAATAATGTCACAAATTATATAGTTGCTGTCTTCTTCATAATATGAAGTTCTATTATTATCTGTTAAAATGGCAATTTAAAATGAGTTAAAAATATCAATTTATATACATACAAAAATGCTAACATTAAGCAGTAAACACTTATTAAGTGTGATTTGTATCACCAACATATTTTGCTAATAACAAAAATAACAAATCAATAAATAACAAATATGACAATAAACAATTAACATTCACTTTACTGAAAACTATTATACTAAGCACTTCATTTGAAAATTAAACTGACTTAGTCAAATTCTGTTTGTAGTTCATGAGAATTAAAATATCAGGAGATAAATTAATATGACAAAATCCCAATATACATTCCATTAACAGCACACATCAAAATGAATGAACAACAGCTTATATTCATTATACATTGTAAAAATCAATGTATAATGTCATATTTTAATTTTTTCACTTATTTAAAACATTACTTTTATTTGTAAGACATCAGTGAAATTATATTTTATGTTAAATATTCTTGTAATATTTAATATAATTGGAATTGTAAAAAGTCAACAGAATAAAGACAGTCAATTAGTTTTATACAGACTGTAATTTTAGACTAAATACAGTAGTAATTATCAAGACTAACATTAAGGAAATACACTTTTTTTTTTAATCTGAGCATATTTCATTTTATGTCAAATGCACAAAGCACTTACTATATTTATCATGCTTAAAAATTACATTTATACACATAACATGAACAGGAAGTCTATTGCATTGTTCACATGATTGTTATTTGCAAATATAGATCTAAAAATTTGATTTCAGTTCTATGAAGTTCCAATGAGACTTCATTCTATGAACTATCAAAAACAATGGAACACTCATTATTATATATTAAAAATACAACTGATGAATGAATTGGCTTCATATTTTTTTTTTTTTTGCATATAATTAATTCATTGCATGTAGAGATTTCAATAATTTTAAAATTATTTTCAGTTGTATCTTCTCATTTTGATGTGTGCAGTGAACAATTTTATATTCTACACAATAATTTTAATAATTTCAGTCTTCTGTATAATGACACTACAACATACAGAAATGTAATGATATCCATTAGCTTGAAATATTAATCCATTTTACACTATTTCTTTTATCAGTTAGGCATATCAAAATTTTCAGAAACTCATCCTTATAAAATAACAACTATGTTCATGCAAAGAATGTTTCTAATCTGATTAGCAGCATTTAGGGGAAGTAAAATTAAAAGCAATATGGTTTCGACAAAACCAAAAACATATATTAAATACAATTTCCAACAAGTACAAAATAATATAAACCTGTTTAAAAAAATACAAATTCCACAAAATTCACTTTTATGTTTTAATTTGTTTAAAAAATACAAATTTCACTGACAGAATTTTCAATAATACTAATACATATGAGATTTTTTCATTGTAAAATATAAAAATTAAATTCACTCTCACACAATTACATAAAAATGTGCCTATGTTTTTATTAATAATTTAGTTTCAAAAAATTAATCCTTATTTATCAATAAGGTATTTAAGTAAACTTTAGTCACATGACAAGTTGTTTACCTAAGAGCTGCAATCATCATACTTGACTGACAGACTGGTTTGAGAATGTTGAATTAGGATTATTTTCCTGTACATGCTGGCTATATGTATTGTTTGCATCTATTCTTTGACTAGAATTTTCATTTGTTCCAGTGTCATATTTCTTTCCCTGCTGAGATAAATTTGCTAATTCCTCAGAATAATAATGTGGTGTATTGAGGTAGTCTTTCATTCTTCGAGGTAATGGTAACGTACTTATTAAATCTCTTCTTACCGATTTTAGAATGATAAATCTAAAAATAAAAACAAATGCAATAAGAATATTACCTAATTAAACATTTAGGGAATTCAACAAAATAATTATTGTAATAAAATTACAACAAATATATGAATAAAATCTAAATCCATAATTTTTTTTAGATTTATACTTAATTATAAAGCAAATTTGAAAGAAACTGTTTAATAATGAAATTTTTAATGTACTTATTGTTAAATTGAATATTCAAAATAATGTATCTTAAAAATAATGAATAAGAATGTGATTAAAATCGTTGTAGTGGGCGGAAAAATAATACAGTACTTTACACAGGAAGTGTATGGAAGAAATGAAGTCCAACAAATAAGAGGACAATTGTAATATTGATGATTTAGATGAAAGAAAGAACTTATCACAAAGCATGAAAATGGTATATCTGTGGCAGATCTGGTGGCCACATTTAAGATGCCAAAGTCCACAGAAAATTGTGTTTATTGATCATAAAGATCGGTAAATGCAATTTTCATTTTATTACACAGTATTTACACATTCTATTTATTATTTTTGTGTTTTAATTTATTATTAGGGCATTTAATTGTGTTATTTTTAACTTAAAACAGCAAATATACATAATTTAAGTTTATTGAAATTGTGTACTGTTTAAGGTCTACGAATGGATTAATTTGCTTTCCATTATTTCTAATGGAAAAAAACTGCTTTGAACTTCAAACAATTCAGAGATGAAACAGCCTCCTGAAATGAATTAAATTTATAGTACGAGACACCAATGTATTTTGGACTTTGCACTGTAAGCATAATGATATTTTACAATCAATTATAACAATCCCATAAATGGTCAGAATCTCATGGAAGCAATCTATTGAACATCAAATCAACAAACACAGATGTAAAAACAAACTACCCTCTTAAGTAAAAATAAGCCTTAACATTAAAAAAGATGTATTAATCAAAGTTGCATTAATTACACATAAAAATAAAAATATTGTATAAATAAATATAATTTTGATAATGAATTAAATGAAAAAAATTACAATATATAAATATAAAAACCTGTTACAATTTCTTTCAAGACATGATAATTCCAATAATAATAAAGTGCATGCACATTTGTAGACTAGTAACTAACATTTGTTTGATTATTTCATTTTTAATTTTTTTAAGTCAACTGTCATTTAATTATTAGAACTAAATTTTTCTAGATATTTTAAATTACTTTAAATAATATAATTATAAAGAATAGTTTTTAAGTTTCAGAGTACAGTGGGTGATTGGTTAATGAACAGTTCAGACTGCAAACAAATCAGACAATAAACACTTTTGTGAAAGATTTTTGTTTGGACAACAAACACATGTTCAGATAACAAACATCTCGCAGAACAAACACAAGAAGAAGCAACATGAAATAGTGAATTTCGATTGGTCTTTCCTTGTCTCCAGGTGACAATTCAAAACCTTTTGGAGCATAGGAGACATTAACATCGACGCTCAACCCAATACTGATCAAATAGTATCCCCCTGAACTTTGAAACTCTCTCTTGTAATTCCAACCTTTTGTTTACCTTTTTGAGAGAAATAATTTTTTTATAGTCTTCACAAGACTGTTGGACACTCGTTAAGTTTTGCATCAGTTTTTATTTTTGAAAGGTGAAAGTTTAGCTGTCCCATTGGATATTTGTTAATGATTTAACACCAAATTTTGAATTTCGTTCAGACTCACAATTACATAATTTTTTTTGTGCGCTAGTTGATTTCAGTTCTCTAAATTTTTTTAAGTGTTTTTCTGAACTTTTTATTTAAAAAAGAAACCTATAATATTATGGAGCCTAAAGAGTGGAGTGTGCTCACCATAGAAACCAAGCAAGAGATAATATCCAAGATAGAGTGTGGGCAGATGTTTGATGTTGCTAGGCAGTATAGCTTGAACAGGTCTACAGTAGGCACAATCTTAGCTAAGAATGACATAATCAAGAAGACTCAAGCATCTAAAGGAGTAACAAAAATCACATCTGAGAAACTAAAATGTGCCATCCATAAAAAACTGGAAAAACTGTTTTTAATTTGGATAAAAGAAAGGGAAATGAAAAGAGATGTAACTAGTATGACTATAATTCAAGAGAAAGCTTGAGAAATTTTTGAAGAACTGAAGAAACAAGCTCCACATGGCAATAAAATTCAAGGCTACCACTGGATGGTTTGCAAAGTTTAGAAGGAGATCTGGAATTAAACATGTGTTAATTCATGGCGAGTCTGCTAGTGCAAATAAAGAAAAGTCTGAGAAGTTCAGTCTCATTGAAGAATTCATTAAAAAAGAAGGATATTGTTCACAACAAATTTTCAATTGTGATGAAATTGGTTTATTTTGAAAGTTCATGCCAAACCATATCTACATCATGAAAGATCAGAAGAATATTCTTGGGCATAAACCCATGAAAGACCAATTAATATTGCTTTTAGGAGCTAATGCTAGTGGTGATATGAAGCTTATCCTGTTTCTTATCTATCACGCTGAGAACACCTAGAGCATTCAAAAAACATTCCATAATTAAAGAAAGACTGCCAGTAACGTGGATATCAAATAAAAGGGCATGGGTCATGCAGGCTCTTTTAAAAAAGTGGCTGGTTGAAGTTTGTACTCCAAGAATCAAGGATTACCGTCAGACCAATGAATTGCCATTGAAAGCACTGTTGCTATTGGACAATGCATCAGGACACCCAAAAGACCTTGAAGATAATTTGCTGGAAGACTTTCCTTATTTCCCTGGCTGACAGTTCAGTTTCTGCCTCCGAATACAACTTCGTTGATTTAGCCAATGGATCAAGAGTTTATTGCAGGTTTCAGAAAATTGTACATTTGTGCACTGTTTCATCAGTGTTTTGAAGCATACCAATTCCCATCAATGATGACATTAATTTAAAATGTTTTGGAAAGAAAAATTTGATATTATTGAAGTTATACAGCTCATTAGCCAGAAGTCGCTCAATGATAGTTGAATTCTGCTTGGTGAAAGCATTCAGGGATACAGAGTGGATGTCCTGAAATTATGGATGAAATTGTGACAACTGCTAGAGATCTGGAATTGGAGGTGAATGAAGATGACATTGAAGAGATCATAATGGAACCTGAAACTGATGTGACAACAGAAGAACTCCAAGAACTCTTGAATGAAGAACACCAAGAAACTCAGCGAGATGTGTTTTCTTCTGAAAAAGATGACGACAAAATAAAACCTATGCCAACATCTGCTATTAAAGATCTTTTGAAGAAATGAGAGAATGTCAGAACAATGGTCTTAGAATGGCATCCAAACCAGGTTGAGGTTAATAGGCTAGGGATCTCTACAACGGCAATATTATTAATTATTTCCAAAAAATCCCGAAGAAGTGAGAAAAGCAATCAACGTTGGACAGATTCTTTAACCCTCATAAACAGAAAAAAACATAACTGTGTATATTTGTATTTTTATTATTACATATAAATAAACATANCAAAAAATCCCGAAGAAGTGAGAAAAGCAATCAACGTTGGACAGATTCTTTAACCCTCATAAACAGAAAAAAACATAACTGTGTATATTTGTATTTTTATTATTACATATAAATAAACATAGTAAGAAAGTATATAAATTTTTAATTAGAATACCTCAATGACCTTTTTTTTCCAAAATATAAATTATTATTTATTTTTTGGGATCTCCAGAATAAATTAATCAAATTCCCACAAAAATCTATGGTAAATTGATAATCAGTTAACGAACAATTCGGATAGCAAACACAGTCTTGGAATGGATTATGTTTGTTAACTGATCACCCACTGTATTTATTTTTATGTAGACACAAATTTGTATGACATCTTCCTGCCAAAATCAAAAAATAATTAGAAAATTTAATGTAACATCCATTTTTGGCAGGTTTCCTAAAGATCAATANCATAAAAATCTATGGTAAATTGATAATTGGCTAACAAACACAGTCTTGGAATGGATTATGTTTGTTAACTGATCACCCACTGTATTTATTTTTATGTAGACACAAATTTGTATGACATCTTCCTGCCAAAATCAAAAAATAATTAGAAAATTTAATGTAACATCCATTTTTGGCAGGTTTCCTAAAGATCAATATAAAAGCAAGTTTACTGTATAATTAAAATTAAAGCTATATGTAATACAATTAATATTTATCTTTGTACATTTTAATAAAATAAATAATTGATCTGATTTGAAGCTGTAAATCTATAAAAAAAAATTAAATTGAAAAAATTAAGCAAAAAGTATAAGTTTAATACCTGCAAAGATGCTGTAGAGATTGGACTTGTTTAAACCTTGAAACAGGATGAAGTAGTTGTACTTGCATTGGGCCAAGAACTGGTCTTCGATGAAGAAAAAATAAATAACGTCCACTTCGAGAATGTGCTACAGCATTTTCAATAAAATCCACAATAGTATTACTTCGAAATTTCTGCTGACAACCAAAACTGAAGTTACCTGTACAAAAAAATATCTCTTGTCATTACAGTTCCTTATTTTTTCTACACAGGTCTAAATTTATTTAACAATTTTATTTTAAGCCTATTTTATTGAAAAGCTTACGAGACACTTAAAATTTTAGAAGCAATTACGAAAGTTATTTTTATTTGTTTTTTTTTAAGTTCATTATCATGCATTATTAAACTAATGAATAAAAATCAATAAATAAATAAAACTAAAATAATTTTCTAAATTAACAACTAATAGTTTTAATTATTAAAAACCTATATTAAAAAATACACGATACTACTATAGAAACACAAGTCTTTTAAAATAAATAAGTGTATCAATAATTTTTTTCTACATTTATAGAGCAGTCTGGTTTAATTATTTAGAATTTCAAAATCATCATTAGCTATGCTAAAATAAACATTCTGGGTATCATCTAGTTTGTGAAATCTGCAAATCTGACACAGTTGTCAGAAAAAAAATGTAAACAACTCTGATAGAAAAACGCTCCTAGTGAGAAATAGATCAAAGGACACCATTTGTGATAACAATTAGATGGGAAAGTTGACACATAGATGTCAAGAATGCACCATTATTGTCAACATTTGGTGATCATGTGACTCCTTTCCCACGACAATCAAATAAAAGCTCAAGCCCCCGGAAGCTCAGGGCAATCCAAAGGAAGTTATAGTTGTCAATGTGTGCATCTCGTCTCCTGGATCTCCATACAACGAACTTGAATAGACAAAAGGTGAAGATATCAGTAGAAGACAGACCATGGCTTCGAACTTCCATACTTATCACCACACTACAGTTCCTACATTGGACTATGATTCCTATGAACCATTAGATGCATACCATCCATTCCATCGTAGATATATTTTTATTAGAGCATTGTGAACTCTTTCTCTCTGAGAATAGGCTTAGCTGCTAAGATTGCTTAGCTGCCCTTTGTATATTTGTATAATATTTAATCACATTTAACCAACTTTGTGAACTTTAGATTTTAATAAATGCTTTGTTATTTTGTTAAACCTGTCTCCTGTCTACAAAGGACACATGCCAACTTGCTCATCTCCCTTGCCACTCAACAAAGAGCCATCCGAAACAACAACGTGAGTGGTCCTTGCAGACTGTTGCTGAATAAGTGGTCAGAAGGGATTAACCCTTAGCCCACGGTATCTCACAAGTTATTAAATAATCAATCTATTATTCATAATTTAATAAGTTTAATTCACAAAGTGGTTTGTCAACTTTTGTCATTTTGAAAATTTAAAACTGTTTAGAAAGCCAACAGTCTATTCTCAGAATTTTCTTTCTTCAATTAATTACCTTCTTAAAAGAATTTGTGATTTACGAATTCTTTTCATGTACTCCTGAAATTATCCAGCATGCAATCTCATTTGTTTTCTAGTTTTTTTCTTAATTTTTTGTACTTTGAGCAAATTTTGTCCAATTAAATAGGAAATAAGTACTTTTCAGTAATAATAATAAGCAAAACAACTAAAAATCCATTTGTGACATCAAACTCCATTATGATGACAAATCCAATGTGGCCATCATACAATACAGAGTAGAAAACATGAGAGATGAGAAAAAAATTTAAGAAATGGCAACTGGAAGAAAAATATCAAAGATTTACAAAGAAATAATCATTTGTATGAACTATAGAACACTGTTAAATTAAAGTCTTTAAAAATTATTATTGTATTGCCTTGTATTCATTAATTTTACACTGTTACATAATAAATTATAAGTTTGATTCAATCTGAAATAAAATATTTTCTAAAACATGTTACTAAATTAAAAATGTACCTTTAAAATTAATATTTTTTGTTATTAAATTAATTTGGTGTGTTTTTGGTTTTATACAAAGTAAAATATTTAAGAAAAGGTTCATTTTTGCCAAGGCTGATAATTTCAGAAATAGAAGTTTTTGTTTTATTCATGTTCAAACTTGGACAAGTTGTATTGTGTTTTAAATACGGATAAACAATAGGCTTAATAAATAATAGTTTCACTTTAATGGTTAGCAGATGAAGTTTATATTTTCATTTTACTTATATGTAGTATGGAATAATAAATTTTATTCAATATTCAATTAGTCATTAGTTCTGTCTGTGTACAGTACCTATAAAAAAACTTTAGCATGTAATTCTTAATGTTAAGGTGACCGACTTTTTTACAATGAAAAAGAGGACACTAATAAATTGAAGGAAAAAATATCGTAAATAAAAACCATTTTATTCATTGCAACAATAATATACTATAATAGTCTCTACTGCATGCATAGGTGCCATGTCGTGTTTTGATAAGAAGTAAACAAAGCCATTTGCGCACTCTCTCTCTCTCTCTCTCTCTCTCTCAAGGCCTCAAAGAGCATGTGTCTCATAATTGCATCTTGTTGCACTGTACAGAGCCTTGATGAATCATCATGTTAAATACAAACACATCGTATCACATCACACGCAATGAATCAGTTTGGCATTGATCGGATACAGAGATTTACAGATTAGTCTTCAAATATCAAAAAGGAGGATACGTAGGAGGGCACTTTTCGAGGGAGGACAGGACTTACAAAAGGAAAATGATTGGTCACCTTATTAATGTGATTTTTAATACTGTAACCAATTATATTTTTGTGTATATTTTTTATCACAACTTTTTTTGTGTGATTGTTCAAATATAATTTCTTTTCAATTAAGAATTTTTGACAAATTTTGAATACATCCAATAAGAATTTATACTCTATTTTTTTAATCTGGAATCTATTGTAAATGAACATCTCGTAAGTTGCCAAGATGTTCAAGATTATTTTTTATGTGCAGACCTAATAAATGATTGTATAGAATGTAAGCAACAAAAAAAACTATTTTTTACATAAGTATGTTCATATTTTTGTATTACCTGGTAGTTTATAACAAGGTTGGTCAAGCCGATCTGATAGCATGCTCCACAAAAGCAAATCAAATATTAATTTTGTTTAAAATAAATTTTATAAATTCTTGGAATCAACTAGTTGTTCAGAAGAATTTTTCACTGAATATACAATAAGAGATGTGGTTTATAGATTCCAGTGGAACCAGGTAGTTTTTACTATAGCTTACAGTGACCATAAATGAGAATGTTTGGTTTCCTTTTGCGCATGGACATGCATAATGACATGAACGGAACATAACTTAAGTAACGAAAGTGAACTGTCTCATTGTGCATGCACGTGTACATGTGCAATAAATGGAATGTCTGACAGATGTACAAAAGTCCTAACATAAGCACTTCACTACTATAGCAGAGCATGCTAAAAAGAACAAATGTGTGCATTGCAATTTGGACAATTGGTTTCATTACAAGACAATCAGAAGTCTAGAGATGGTTGCATGCCAGCCAATTAGCAGATATTCTTATTTCTACTAGTAAACACATTTCTATAGCATTTTACCCAATTACATTATTATTGATATTCAAAAACAGTAGCTAAATTGATAATATAGTAAAATCTATCTAAAATAGAACTTGAATAAAATGGTAAACTTTCTTAACAGAAAAAATTCTATGTTAAATTCTACTGTAAATTCTCTTTCTAATGAGGAAATGGAAGAGGTTTCTGGGTACAAAGAGCATAATCTGGGTAAAGCAGAAAATTAAGATTCTACTCAGACAAATAAGTAAAATTGCCTTTAAGTATAACAGTCATCACAGAGTTTAAATTAACAAAATGTAGACTTATTCTGAGAATAATTTCAAACTTTGTCAGAGAAACTAAGGTCAAGTGACAAGGAGACATATCGACACAAAATCTTTGTAAAAATTAACCAAATGTACAATTGAATACTTTTAAAAATGAAATAAGTTTTTTAAGAATTGAGTTACAAGATTTTGATCAATAGCTAACATAGTGGTTTAGATTGACTACTTCTTGTATAAATAACCTAGTTTCTTCTTTCAATTTGATTTATATGTTGCAAAATGTCTTTATTATAAAAAAATTAATTTTCGTAAATAAATCTTAATAGCTATATGTAATTTGCTATAAAATTTAAGGACTTATCACACCACAGTTTTCAATTGGAAACTGTGGTGTGATAAGTCCTTAAATTTTATATTTCAAATTACATATAGGTATTAAGAAGATTTATTACAATACAGGACAAAAAGCAAATAATTAAGATAATTTTCGTATTTGAAGTCCTTGTTTCTTGCAAAACTGAATTGAGGGAGTTTTATTTTACATGATTTTCCACATTTCCTGCATATATTTTAATGGTTTTTTCCTACTCAAATGACTTAGGATGTTTCAATTACAACTGAGATTGTAATTGAAACATCCAGTACTCACATTAATATTAAAGAAAGTATCTTTCAATATCATATCATCATATATATACATATTTACATATATATATATATATATGATATGCATATGCCATTTACCAGCTGAAAAAGATTAAAAAAACTATCTCTTCCATATAAAAACATGACAAACTGACTGAAAGAGATGCGAGATATTAATCAGTATGAAAATAATGCTCTGGTATCATTAAAAATAAAATCAATGAAAAAGTTTTTTTAAGTGCTGACTGACAGTACAATTTCCTGGAAAACAATTTATATTGTAAAAAATCTAGCAATGAGTTTCTTAACTTTACCAGCAACATTTGGTGACGCCATCTGTTATCATATTTTATTTAAAAACTTTTTATATTTTTATTATTATAAAATGGCAAAAAGCTTAATTTTGAGGGTAGGGATGGGTTTTATAAAAAATTGTAAATGCTAAATACAAGTAAAATCATCATTAAGGCCAACCCTACAGGAGATACACACAACCCTCATTATCTCTCCACCCCTTGACCTTTAACAACCAAAATTTAATAGCATCAATCCCTTCATTATAAACAAATCTTGCAAAAATTTCAGAAATTTTCAACAAAAGTACAGGAGTTATTAAGCTTAACAAAATTTTGCCCTCACATACACACATGCACACTTCCATACATACAGAAATTACCCCCAATTTTTTTGGATTTCTCAATGTTTCAAGGTGTCCTGAGTTCAAATATGTAAAAAACTTAGGAAGGTCATTTTTGACCAATCGCCACACTTTACCTCTGTTATATATAACAGTTAGGAAAGTAAAAATGATAACTTCAGTACTTTATAACTTATTTCATAATTTTAAGAGCAACATTTAGAAGGATGTCAATTACTATTTATGTTTAATTTTCCTTGAATCATGTCTTTAGTGGCCTTTTTACATTTTAAAACATTTTTAAAAAACTAAGATGAGAATGTCAAAAATTTGAAAATATACACTATACTCTTGATTCGCTGAACATTTTTATTGTTTCTTACTGTACAAAGAGAGAATGAGAGAGATTTCTAACTCCTAGACCAAACTGTACAACCAAACCAATATGTATCAGTTTAGTTCTACAGTCATCTGTATAACTAACACTGCAACCAAAATGAATGCAAAATAATAAAAGATAATGCTAAAATCCAGAAACATGAAGAAAATGTGTTTAAAAGAAAGTAATTCAAACATTAATAAATAAATTATAAAAAATAATAAATGAATAAACAAAAACACAGGACTACAGCTACACGAATCTTGAGAGGGTTTTCTAACAGAAGAGGAAGAAGAAAAAGATAAAACAAACCAATGCATATTTGTAAGCCAAAGAGAAACACACCCAAAGGCAATGCTAAAGCAGATGTGAAAAAGTGATGTACTGCATGTTTGTAAGTTACTGTTGTGTGACACCATGATACAGCACAAACTCACCAAATTCATATTTTATATAGAATATTGAAATCTATATATACTGTATAGTAACTGATGAGGGAACTGATAGGTCTGAAATGCATTTCACAATAAATACTTAGGAAAGAAAAAAAGTGCCTCAATTTCTTTCTGTTTGGTGACCATCCAGTGTGATATGTCCGCCTACAGGAAAGTGCACTAGCATGACGCATTATTCGTGAGAGTATTTTTGCTCAATATAAGCAGGCTTCTTCAATTGTTATAATTGAATAACAAGAACGAAAACATTCAGACAACATATGCTTAATTTTAATTTTCAAAATGATTGCTTGAATAGAATGTTTTCAAAATTAAAATTCAAGTATATGTTCTCTGAATGTTTCTGTTCTTGTTATTCAAAGTTATAACTGAAGAAATTTGCTTATATTGAGTGAAAATACCTTTAAAAAAACGTTTGTATTTTTCCTGACAAGATATAAAATTTGCTTAATTTTGTCACAAATTTTGGTTAATTCATAATCATCATTAATGTGCAGCTTTACTCTGTGATACCCTGGATAAAATGATTACAATAGATGGAAAAATTCTTTTCTGTAAGCCATGCCACAAAAACAGACTGCACTCAACTATTCCAATTAAAAAAGCACATTAAGACACAAACTCAAAGAAAATCTAAAATGCTATAAAAGTTGTCAAGAACTTCTAATCAAACTTATGCAAACTTCATGAAATGAACAAAAGGTAAAAGATGAATATTTTGACATGTAATGTATTTTTAGCATCCAATATCTCATGAAAAAACATTCAAATAACAAAATTTTAACAAGTAACATTTGGTAAGTTGACAGTTGCTGGAAATGTGGTGTAACCAATGGTTACACCATCCTTCCAGCAACTGTCAACTTACCAAATGAGTCAACTTTATGAAGAAATTACTTAGAGTACTGCTATGAAAAGGTAGACTTTCTCATTTAATAGAACATAAGTCTTAAATAAAAAAATAAATTAATAATAATAATAATTTGCAATTGATCTAATGCTTTTTAAGATAATGTCAGACTTTCAAGACTGATTTGTGTGATTCATATATTTCGTCAACTGTCAATGAAATTAGACAAACGCAGACATTACATGGCAAACTTGCTGGCAGGGAGGTTGTCTCTTTTTACAACATGTAAACCACAACTCATTGCAGCCAATGAGCTGGCAAATCTGTAGAGGAAAAGGTGGTATTATGGAACCCCTCCTTTTCAAACTAATAATAAAGGCAAACTGTAGCAGATTGTGGTTGAACTGCACTAGGCAGACATCCATAGCAAGGGAAAAACCTGTTTCACTTCAGTTAAACAGTTCAACTTACTCTGTGATACCCTGGATAAAATGATTACAATAGATGGAAAAATTCTTTTTTCTTTCCATAGTGAATCAGCATATTTGTGTTTTCCAAAATTTGAAAGTTTTGAATGGTAAGTGAATTTAATTATTTCTAAACTATAAAGCATGTAGTTGTATGTTCACTGGTGCATGTATTCCATTCCAGAGACTTAGGGGTACAAATTAATCTGTGTGATGTTCACATTTTTTAAAGTTTGGTCTTGACAGAGATAAGTTAATTCAAGATGGTGATGCGTGAAATACGGACCCCATTGATGCTTTTAATATGGAACCCAACTTCTCTGAACTCTCTCTTTGCAAGCAGACATTTGTCCGGAGCAATTTGTGAAAAAGACACTAGGTAGAAAGCCAATTCTTCCCGAGAATATCGAAAAAGAGCTGCTGGAATATATATTGTTGATGGAGGTAATATTTTTCTATTATAAAAGCATTTTTGCGATAAAATACATTGGAGTAAATAATTTTGTAATTATTTAACATTTTTTGTCCTTTCCTATTTGTTTTTGGCTACATTAAAGCATTTTTTTGAAAATATACAGTAAGGTTCCATATTACCACCCGATTTTCTCTAAGCCTACTTTCGGACTTTTTGTACAAAAGCCTTCAAAAACCATACTTATAATTACACTAGTGAAAAATCCAATTAGGAACATTTAGTTTAATAGTTACCAGTACTTTTCGCACAAAAAATATGGGTGTAGTTATGATATCTTGTTTACAATTCACTATAATGTAGTTGGAGTTCCATAATACCACCTTCTCCTCTATTATTTAATATTACATAATTTATTAATATAAAAATACCTAGTAAAGAAACTAAAATTTAATTATATTTTTGTTATCATTCCAAACATTTTTTAAAAGTGTATAAATGATGACATTTGCCTGTTTTCACAACCAAAATTAAGAGTTAAAGTTAGAAGTTAATCAATAAGCATTTGCATACTGTAAGTAAAATAAATAGTAATTAGTTAACTTCTAACTCCTTGATTGTGAATACAGCATTTACATTTTTTTATTTTCAAACTACAATATATTTTTTAATTTACCTTGTTTTTATTACCTATAAACTACCAAAGAACATCATTCTATTAATAATTCCAATGCACTAAAATAATTCACAGCTACTCAATTGAAATATGAAGAAGAAAAGAAAGTATATCTGAAGAGTATTAATGTATTTTTTATTTAATAAATTTAGCTAAGTGAATGTTAGATCAGTAAAATGTATTTAGGGTGTAGTAAATTCACAATATTAAACTTCTAGCATATACATAAATTTCTAAATGTATTAACATTCTTTACATTTTGTTTTGTACATACAAGTAATGAAATATAATACTTACCATGATCATGTTCTATTCTTACATGACGTACTAAACCATTTAATTTAAATGTCAAGCTAAAAATATAATGTTCATCAGAACTATCTCTTACAACAAATGAACCATCTGGCTCATTTGCAAGTAATTTTTCTGCCATTTCACCACTTATCGGTCCCCAATACCATCCACACTGAAAATAAACAAAAATAAATCATTAAAAAGTAATAGTTGTAATAATAAATAACAATATAACACAGGTTTATATGGTTTCTGAAGTCTACAAATCAAAGCTGTTTTTAAACAATTTTGATTTGTATTACAACTCTGTTCCTTCAACAAGCTGAAGGAACAGAGTTGTAATATATATATATATATATATATTGCTAATCTTTAACTTCTTCTATTTTATTCTAATTCAAAACATTTTTAACCTTCTCAAGATCATCCTTAGTGCTTCCATGTAGAATTAGATTTCTAAAAATAATATTTGCTTTAAATGTTTAAAAATATGTCAGAAATTTCAAAAAATGATGATTCAAAATAATCAACATTAAAAATCAATGTTCTTTTTAGAAATCTAAATTCTACCTGAAAGCACTGAAGATGTCCTTCAAGATGTTTTAAACATTTTGAAGTTAGAATAAAATAGCTGAAATTAAAGCTTAGCATTATATTTTTATTTTTAATCAAAGCTATTATTTGTTAATTCAGTCATATTAAACACAAAGACATTCTCCTTGATAAAGAAAGTTATAATCAGACTAAGTTCTACCTGAGGCTGAAATTATTAACAAAAATGACTTACAAATAGCCTAGCATACTTTTCCAACTGTATGATGTTTCTTGTAAACAAAAATAACCTAGCTCATAGATGTGCACATCAAAAAAAAAAAGGGTGCGTGCCACATATCAATGTAAACAGACTAGCATGGCAGAATTGCAGACGAGTTTTAGTGTGAGTTCTTTCGCTGTTAAAATAGTGTAAATTTGTAAAAATATTTGCAAGAACTTTGTTTCATCATAATTTCACAATTTCTACGAAATTCCTGGACAAAAATTAATAGTTCATCCAGACAGCGAGTCAATTCCTGGACTGTTCAGGTGAAAACTGGATGGGTGGTAACACTACATGTCAGTCATTGGGGATGCACTATAACCTTACCAAGTTTGATCAAAATCAGTGACGCCAATGTCATGCCATTCCCTCATGAGACATAGCTAGAATTTTCTGAAATTTTGCAAGGAGGTTTTGTGTATCAGGGGATTATGCTATTAAATTTTGGTTGTTAAAGGTCAGTGGGGGTTAAAGGGGGTTATGTGTCATATCTGAATTAGGGTATGCTGAGTTTTGCAGTAATTGGACAGTTCTATCTGAAATGGATATAAACATAGTGAAAACATTTGCTTAGAGTATATCTATCTATTCTTTTTAATTTAGGTTACTTATGTTACTCCTATGCAAGTCCCTAGTCCCTAACTGTAACTGATTTAGAACCGGCATGCACGTTATTCTTCGCATTGTAAAATGACATTGCACATGCATCAGGACTTCTGTTCGAACAAACCTAACCTGCCATCCAGGTAAGCGATTTTGAAAAGGTGGCAACACTACTGACATGTGCCAAGCAGTAAGGCACAATACTCAAAATTAAAAGAGAAAATTGAGGTTGAAAATTCGTGTTTTGAATCTCGGTGCTATCAATGTATTTTTTTTGTTTTCATTTTTATACAAAATTATAATTTTTAATATTTTTAAATTTATAATATTGTAAGAGAGAAGAACTGATTTATTTTCAGAAAACTACAAATGCACAATAAACAGGGTAATAAAACAATAAAATCAATCTGTTTCAAGTAAGAGTCAATTTTGAAAGCAATTAACAAATACTTCCTAACATTATTCATCTAAAAACAAAACATTTTCTGTATTTTCATGTACAGTATGTACTTACTATGGCAACAAAGTCATTGTTCAACCTAAATACATCTATAATTGCATCTTTGTTTGCTAAAGAATGAAAAAATGGCTTTGATATCTCATGCTAACATCAATAGCATAGAAATGTGTTCTGCAGAAGAATCACTGCACACATTACAAAATTTACATATTATGAAAGCATCCTTCAAAATCAAGACCTAATTGCAGCCAAAGGTTCTTCAACAATTTCAAAAGTTGTGAAGGTGGTAGAAAAAACATCGAGCACGCTGATATTTTCCAATGTATGAATGTAAATATGGTATGAATGATTCTCCTCCAAATTAGTTGATGATAGAGAAGTGTTTTTAAACATTAATCAAATTTGTTTTTCCAGTGGCATGTAAATATTCTTCTTATTGTAAAAGTCTGCATTTATTCAATGTGCACACTGCAGAAATAATTTTTGTAGAAGCATGTGAAACAATAAACATCATCCACAAAATTGTGCTCATAGAAAGCAAACAGATTGAACAATGTTAATAAAAAAAGACATTTTTATTAACAAAATTTGTCTTGAATAATCATAATTTTGTTTAAATCTATTCCTCTTCCCAAATGAATTATAAATAAGTGTTAGTACAAATTCCATACATACTATACACTAATGTTCAAAAATAACTTTTAAATAAATATAATAAATTAAAAAACACCAAGAAAAAATTATAAATTATAGTTTTGTATAAAAAAAGTTGATATCATTGAGATTCAAAACATAAACTTCATGATCACAAAACTGGCACAACCCCACCAGCCAGTATACAAATGGTAGAAATTCTAAAGCTTAAAATTAAAAGAGAAAATTGAGGTTGAAAATTGCAAATCATGTTTTACATGATTTGCAATTTTCAACCTCAACTTTCTCTTTTAATTTTAATTAAGTATTGCATCTTACTCCTTGGCACATATCAGTTGTTGGGGATGCACTATATCCTCTCTGAGTTTGATCAAAATGTTATGCCATCCCATCATCAGTAGGTATGCAAACAATTACAGTTGTGATCAGACTGCACATCTGGTATGCCACCAGAATGCATTAAAATTGCTACCCCCAATATTCTATAATAAGGTTTTCAGAAGCTTAATGTGTTCAGAATTTTCAATGTACCTACTATTTGGAGGTCTTGAATACCATGTCTGTATAAAGTAGCCAAAGACATTTATATGGATAAGAAGTGCAGAAAATTCAGGTAAACAATAACTGGGCAACAGAAACTTAAAAATTCTTGCACATTTAGCAAGCATACAATCTGGCATATATTATTTATGATTTTTGTAAATATTGGTAATATATATAAATATAAATATAGTTAAGACTTACGAATTATAAGTTACAAACTACGAGTTACAATTATTTCCAACTTAGAAAAAGGAAATGTTTCGGAACAATGTATTGTAGTATCGTTAATTATTTTATGTCAGAAGCAGTTAACAAAGTATCAAAGAAAAGCAGTTCTTCAAAAACAAATTCCTTTGAAGAACTTTTATACTTTTTTGTTTTAATTTATATTGTATTTAATGTACTGTACCGTACTTTCCGGCTTATAAGACGACTCCTGACTTTTACAGTTAAAATATAGAGTTTGGGATATACTCACCGTATAAGACTACCCCTCTTTGAGTGCACACCAAATAAAAATAAAAATCAGATTTGATTTCAATATGGTAATTTTAATTCAAATGCTTATGACATGCAAGTACTTAGCATGTCATAAGCATTTGAATTAAAATTACCATATTACCATATAAAACATAAAATAGAAATTACCATATAAGTAACAGTTTACCTGCAAATACTTAGCAGGTAAACTGTCACTTATAAACATAAGGCTGTTTGTCATCAAACATGTAAACATAAAACAGTGCAAGTGGATTAAACTTTTTCTAATTCACTCTAAAGCTGAAAGGAAGGATAAGACAATAAACCCATGGAAACTGTCATGCTGTTTGTTTTCTAAGCTGTCAACCAAACTGGAACTGATGATGATAGGAAGAAGATAACAAACAATAGAGAGAGAGCAAGTGCCTTGAAAGTCCCTGGCAAGTTAGCAATGCCCATCATAACTGCAAGCTACGATATTTTTACAGGTTTTGCTGGCATGACAGTTTCCCTTTAAAAGCCTTCAAAATCCTCCTGTTCATCATCTGATATCATAAGTACATCAATGACATCTTGTGATACATTTGTAAGGCAGTCATCATATGGATCAAATTCTGTATCAGATGGTCTGGTCTCAGATTCAGCTTCCTCTTCATCTTGCCACAAGTAGTTGCCTCCATACCATCTAATGAATTTGATATGACACTCTTCTTGAAAGACTTGATTACTGTTTCTGCATCAATATCATTCCAGGCTTTTATGACAAACTGGCACAAAACATCCAACTGTGAGTAGCACGCATGTTTCCTCCTTTTGTGAATGACTTTTTGCCACTAACCATCCATTCATTCCACTGTTCTCAAATGCAATCTTTAAATGGCTTGTTTAGACACACATCCAGTGGCTATACTAACGATGTCAATCCTGCAGGAATAACTGCCGCATCTGTGTTTAGTCTTGCAAGCCATTGCTTGGTGCTGGGAGTTAAATGACCCCTGAACATATCCCACACCAGTAGACTACGTTCTTGAATAAGTCCATCTGGTCACCTGCTCCATACATTATTAAGTCATAGCTTTACCTCTTCTTCATCCATCCTTTTTCATTCACAAGTACAAAACAACCAACAAGGAACTTGAGTTTTGGCATTGTTTTTCATTTAAAGATAATCTCTGGTATCAGTTTGGTGCTATCAGCTGTACATCCTAGTACCACTGTAAAACTGGACTTCTCATGTCCTGTTGTTTTAATTAAAATTGTTTTTCACCTTTTTGATGGACAGTTTTATTTCCAACCATATCAAAATTCATTGGAGTTTCATCCATATTTCCAATAATGCTTAACGCATAGCCATGTTTAGTGCACTGCTGTATTACATATTGATGGAAACTAATTACTTTGCTATCAAGATCTGCAGGTAATTTTTGGCAATTTTCATCTTTTACCTCAGTACCATATTATGCCTTGCCATGAATCTAGTACACCAGGATACAGTGGCCTTAAATCTGTTGCTTTGATCTGGGTTAGATTTGGTGAAATATGTTTGTTTGCACTGAAGTGCAAACAAACATATTTCATTTTGTGTCACTACATAACCGTTTTGGCAATACTCATT